CGCTGCGGGTTGCCTCCAGGGGGCGCCGGAGGCCTTACTTTCCCGCTGCTAAGCGTCTGCCTGCAACTTCCACCGGACCCGCTCCCTTAACCCGGTTCTTCCCAGCGAGCGCCTTTGCGAGCCCACCCGCCGGGGACACGACCCGGGTCGCGGTCTGCTGCGTACCCCTCTTTTGAACGTACTTGGGAACGACCCGTCCCGTCCCGTCCCGTCCGACCGTCATGGAGGGCGCAGACTGCTCAGCGAATGAACGCCGGGGAGACAGTCAGCTCCACCACCAGCAGCGGCTGTCCGGCGCACGGAGTCCCCGGAGGGAAAGAGCAGTGCGGAAAACCTGTGCCTGTCCTGGGCAGCTGCGCCGGGCACTGCCAGCCCCTGGGCTTCCCGCGAAGAAAAGATGACTGGCCTTCCCCAACCTGGTGCCCTCTTGGATGGGTCGGACAAGCGCTCGCCCGGTTGCGGGCGGACACCGGGCTGGGGGAGGAGGCGGCTTCTAAGGCGCTAAAGGCAGGGTGCATTTGTCCGAAGGGCACCCCCAGGAGAAGATTCGTGGCGAGAGCGCTTCCAATCATGCGCAGAGTGCTTTTGCTTAGAGAGAGGAGGCCTAAGGCGAAGAAGGGGGAGAGGAGCGGGTGTGCAGAGCCGCTCTTCCTCCCCTTGGAAGGGGGCCCCCACCCCCCAGTCTCCCGCTTTTTGCCTCCCTTGATGATACGCGCAATACTTGGAGAACGGGCCGGGCCGGGGTGGGGGGAGCTTCCAGCCGAATTCCTCCTGGGCTTTTCTGGCGGAGGAAGGATGACGGTGTGCCGGTGCGAAGGAAGGGGGGCTCTTTAGAGGCCCCGGCAGGTTCCCGGGGATCCTGTTCACCGTCCTCCTGCCACGCTGGGACCAGCGCTTCCTTGCCTGCCCCAGCGGAGGGCTCGGAGCCGCTTTCCAGCCCCTGGCAGAGTCGAGGGAGATTGGCAGCGGAGGGGGCTTCGAAGTCCCGTCTGGGTCCGCAACGGAAAGGGCCCCATTCAACTGAGAGAAGCGGGGGCGGGGGGAATAAGCTCACTGCCTCCTTGCCCCCTTGTTCAAGAAGGGCCCCCAAATGCCACAAGAAGAAAGCTCCCTCCGTAAATGCAGGTCTTCTGTCGCCTTCGCCGTCTCCCCCACCTGGTCCTAAGCCTTTTAGGGAGAAAACGTCCGGATGCGAACCTAAGTATCAGGACGGATAGGACGGTATTGGGGGGCATGCAACTAGAGCGTCCTCCAGCTCCACTGACGCCCCCACCGCGGGTTTCCTCGGCAGGACGTCCCCGCCACACTTGAGCTCCCAAATGAAGGGCACCTGCCCGCACCAACCAGACTGCGCAGCTGGGATGTAAACGGAGCAATTTAGGATCAGACCTTGCTTCTTCGGGAGGAGGGGGCCAAATGGGGAAGGGACGACTCATTTCCATCCGACTTAAGCCTCTCTGACAGCCTTTGCCGGTCAGTTCAACTTGACTGGAAAGTAACGCCCGTTTGCCCTTCCTTAACTTTATTTTAGGATCAAGACCCTAGTTTGTTCCTTTGGCAGCAATCCTCACCTCCCTTTCTCTCTTCGAGGAAGTCTCACCGATCTCAGAAGAGAAGATGTCCTTCTTTGTTCTATCCCTGCTAACTACGACTTTG